ACAGGCTGTGGGATGTACAGGTACAGTTGTATAGGTACTACCAAATACATTATATATTGTTTTTTAGACCTCTTATTTTAAATTAGCACAAACTATTTTTCAAAAAATAACAATTTGTCATGCAAAAAAGGGTGCACTATTCCTTGTTATTACTGGAAAAAATAACTTTTCCCCTCGAACCCTCCCCTTCCACTCCTCCTCATGGTCTTGGAAGGCTCTGGTTCCCCTGCCTTCTTCCCCCCCTTTATTGGGCTTGAGCTTTGTCTCGTCCATGGACCGCACTTAGGGAGATGTGAGCAAGGTGCTTCGAGTTGTCAATAGACTGTGTGGAAATGCTGACCAAATATGCCGGGTCGTGGGTTTCAAGTTCGATGGATCACAGGAAGATGCGGAGGCTTTCTTTTACTCCAACGCCCATACACGTTTCAAAGCAAGTCTGAAGCGATCTAGAGAAGTTTCCAATCTCTTCTTTGATGTCAATTTCGATAGAGGCTCTTCTACTGCTCCCCCCTCTTCGCTGGGGGTTTAAGCCACTCCCAGATGCTCAGCTCAGCGCTCTCTTTTCCTGTCCAGATAATGAGGATTTTAGTTTGGATTATCCATGGCCTTGGCTCTAGCCAAAAGGCATCCTTTGTTCTTTCGTACTGCTCTCAGTATCACCCCTCTGCTTTAGCTCTAGTAGAGGCCAAGCTCCTGGCATCATCTCTCCACCAAATCCGTCAAGTTTGGGGTCGTAGGTCATGTCAATGAATTGTCTTCAAAGCTCAAGGCACCTCTGAAGGTATTTGGGTTGTCTGGGACAGTCCTCCCATTCCCTCTCCTCTTCTGTGGTGGCCTCCTTTTCGGTCACAGTGTCCCTCTCTCGTTTGTCGGACGAACTTCCATGGATGTTTATGGACCAAATTCGCAGGCTCTGAGACCCCTCTTTTGGGAAGAATTGAACCTTGTTGCAGTCCCCCCGCTGCTTGGTGCCTGGGGGGTGACTTCAACGTCTCTATATGGCCTCTTGAAAGATCAAATTCTTCCACTATTTCTCTGGCTATTATAGATTTTGCAGACTGGATAGCTAACAATGATCTCATGGACATCCCTCTCCTTGGAGAGAGATTCACTTGGTCGAATCACTCTTCTCCAACCCCCTCCCTTTCCAAGATCATTCGCTTCCTCTGCACTTTGGATTGGGAGGCCTCCTTCCCAGCCTCCTCACGAGTTTTACCCAAAACTATCTCCGACCATAAACCTCTTCTCTTAGATACCTCCCGTCACTTAGGGGGCCCTAGACCTTTCCATTTTGAAATGGCCTGGCTCGAAGAATTCTCCCTTCTCTTCGTTGTTCCTTCTTGGTGGTCCTCTTTTTCCCCCTTAGTTTGAGGTTGGGCTGGTTTTAGATTCCAATAAAAACTCAAGCTTCTCAAAGAGGCTCTCAAAACTTAGAGCAAGAACTTACCTGGGAATTTCCAGGCTATGAAAATTTCTCTACTCTCTGCAATACATGACCTCGACACTCTTGGGGAGTCCCGTTCTCTTTCTTCCAATTAATAGCTTTTGAGATCTCAATACAAAAGCTGACTTTCAATGCACCATTTGGAAGGAGGAGATCTTTTGGGCACAGTGTTCTAGAGTCAAGTGTCTCAAGAAAAAAGATCTCAACAGTGGTTACTTTCAAAAGAATAGAGAATCTCATCACACAAATTCAGTTTCAGGGGTCATTATGGATGACCCTTCTAGAGTAGAAGAAACCATTATTCAGTACAACCTAGGGCCCAAATGGAGGAGCTTTCTTTCCTCTAACTTTTACCTGCCGAGGCTCAAAGTCTAAGTACCATTCCTAGAATCAGAAATAATCTTAGCCAGTAGAGACTTGGGCCAGGATGGAGCCCTCGGCCTAAACAAATTTCCAATAGCCATTTATAATCGCTTTTGGGAGCTCTTACGCCTAGACTTGCTTTCTTTGTCAAATTTTATGATAGGGGAAACATTAACACGGCTATGAAACACTACCTTTGTAGCCCTTATCCCCAAAGTAGAGGGTGAATTGGAGCTAAAAGATTTCAGAATTAGTTTGGTGAATAGCTCCTATAAGATTTTAGCCAAGGTCGTCTCTTCTAAACTTAAAACTTGTCCTGGGGTCAGTCATCTCGCACAACCAAAGTGTCTTCATTAAAGACTGGCAAATTCTCAATGGAGCCTTGGTGGTGCATGAGTGCATTCACTCCATGTCTACCTCCAAAACCTCGAAACTCATCATTAAGCTGGATTGGGATAATGCTTATGATCACGTGGAGTGGGATCTCCTTGACAAAGCCAAAAGGAAAATGGGCTTTGGCCACAAGTGGAGGAAATGGATATGTGGTTGCATTTGTAACCTCTTATTTTCTATCATTATCAACGGCACGCTGCAAGGCTTCTTGCCATCCTCTACGGGGCTTCCGCCAAGGAGATCCCCTATCCCCTTTCCTATTTGCCATAACCGGTGAAATTTTCAATAGATTCATCTAACGCTTATACAACTTTGGGTTTGTGCAAGGCTTCAGTTTCGGGCTCCAAGGACCCACTATCTCTCATCTACAATATGTGGACGACACGTTGTTTTTTTGCAAGCCCTCTCAAACTGACAACTTGCTTTTCTTTTTCAACTGTCTTCATTTAGCCATTGGCTTTAAAGTGAATCTCCTTAAATCCAAGATGATAGGGGTTAGAGTGGACCTGCTATTAATTCAATCTTTTGCCTTCATATGAGGTTGTAGAGTGGATTTTCTTCCAACCTCGTACCTAGGTCTCCCTCTCTGTCTCAAGAAACCTAGAAAAGCTCTTTGGAGCCCTATTTTGGACAAGTTCGAGAGAAGGCTGGCCTTTTGGAAAGGCTGCTTTGGTCGCTCCACCCTAATTAAGGCCACCTTATCCAATGCAAGCGTTCAAAACTTTGGAACCGGAACCAAACCCGAATAGTTTTCGTGTCCAAGATTTAGACCTGGACCCAACCTGTCAGGTCCAATTTTTGAACCTATACCCATACACGGTTCGGGTCTAACCGTTGGATCCTGGGTAAGGTCTGAGTCCGTTGCCACCGCTCCATACTTTCTCATGCCCCCTGCTTTTCCTTACATAATTACTGCAAAACCTGATAAATGGCCTGCTTGGGGTTGAACGAATTCCCCATCTCCGTGGTATCCACCATTATCTTGACCAGAACATATGGTATAGTATAGCAATGCACGTATAATTTTGTTGTTAAATAAGGCTAGGATTTCTATGGTTATCTAATTGACTTGATTTACTGCAAAGCATGTACCTATGCTTTTTGAGATTTTTACAAGAATTTTCCATTAAAGAACTTCAAGAACATAATATCTTTGTGTGTGTGTGCCTATCAAGAATCTCTCTCTCTTGTCCCATCCCTTTTTTATCATTATCTCATCGGATGTGAAATGGCGATGAAACTCAATACCCATGCGTCCAAGTTTGAATGCCCTCTCTTTCTCTCTCCTTCGTTTATTTATCCCTTTTGTTAAGGCTGAGAATTTACCCAGTTTAAATCCGAAATGATCTTATTTGGACTCGGGTATGGATTTAAGATTTGGATTCGAAATTAAGATCCGTATCCAAAATTTAGATAAAAAAGTTAACTTCGATCAAATCCAGGTACACGTGGATCTGATCCAAATCTGACCTGATTTTTAAAATAATATATATTGCAAGTGCTAAAAAAAGTAACAATCTAGATAATGTGTTATACTGCACATTATTTTTAGGGCTTGGAATCCTTTTTTTTTTTTACTAGTCAAAGATGGGACGATCAATTTGATGGTTTTTTGATACTATAAGTGCAATTTTGATAAGATTTGAGATGTAATTTTATTTTTTTTACATAAAATCTAGGCCTGCTTTTAACTGTTTTTGAGAAATTTACGAAGGAATCATCTCCGACTCAACTGGCAACAATTTCTTAAGGCTGCGGCTTCACCAAAACCCCTTCGTTATTTAAGATGCTTAATGGCTCTAGGCAATCTTATAGGGATGGTTGGGTAGTGCTGCAATCCCATCAAAATAAGCAGGTCCTCATCTCATAATTTATTGATAATTGCAATTCAACCCTTGGAAAACTTTTACATCAATCATCTCGATTTAAACATTATAGTTGTTGAAAACTTTTAGGATTTCAAGCTTTAAAAATAGTGTATATTGTAACAAATTATCTAAAAGGTGTGGTTTCCATAAGATTACAACCTTAAATAATCCATTAAGGCGCACCTTCAAATTTTATTATGACATATAATTTTGATGTAAAATATTCTTATGATTATCTCAAAATCGATTTTCAAATCTAATTATAAAATTTTAAGCTCTAAAAATGATTAAAATCAAGTAGATCTATAAACATATAAAACTCTTGAAAAAGGACGATCTAGATAATGTGTTGTAAGATGCATCATTTCTTGGACTCAAAGTCTTTTTTTTTTATATGGTCCTACATCTCGATGTCGAGATGATCAATTAGAGGGTTTTCAACATTAAAACATTTTTTACTGATGGATTTTTTAGGTGCATCAATGGTTCTACGTTTTAAGGTTACAACTTTAAATAGATTTTTCTCTTATGTAAATAGTTTATTTTATCTTTAAAATAAGTGGTCCCACATACGCAAGATATTTAAGGAATTGATTTGAGAGCCATCATTGATTTTTGTATTGCCGAATATATTTTCCGATGGGGTATCGAGGGGACGATTTATTTTGTAATGATAGAGCCTAGGCCCTATGGAAACCTCATTCTTATAATAATCCTAAACTATGCAGGGCCACGCTTTGATTCCAGACACGTGTATTTGGTCGTCGTCAACAAACGAGTAGTTTTCAGGTAATTTCCGTTAGAGGGGCACAATCCGTAAATAAGGGATAATAGGGGTGGCATTTGGCATTGGTGGGAATTGCTTCGACGCGGTTTGTAGGCCCCCCGCGCACATCACTGTTTCTACGTATGTATACATCGAGAGAGAAAAATAGAGGGACACTTTTTTTTTCTCTTCACAAACTTTACTGAATCCATCGTTCTATCCACAATTCTTCTCTCTCAAGGTGACTGATACCAAGGACTGATCTTCCACGAATTACACTGTGAAAGACTGATCTTCGACTGACGAATTCCTTGTGTTACTCTCTCTACTCTTTCTAAGTTTCTCACTTTCTTACGAGCTTTCCTGAAACTTTTATTCCCTGGATTCGGCATCAAATAAAGTTTGAACTGTGACAGACTGATTCATGGATTCCATTGAAGTATCACTTGTAAAAATGCTGGATTCCATTGAAGTATTTTATTACTTGTAAAAATCTGAGCTTTTTGGATTCCAGAAGTTCCCCTTGGATAAAATTGAAGGATGGCTGTGATGTCTTTGGAGAGTTTACCCCCTGGCTTCAGGTTTGGACCCACTGATGAAGAGCTCGTTTCATACTACCTCAGAAGGAAGATTAATGGAGGACGGGGTGTGCAGGTTATACCAGAAGTTGACATGTGCAAGTGCGAGCCATGGGATTTGCCAGGTAATTTCGTTCATCCATTAACAATTTTATGGGCTTTAAATTTTTTTGGCCTTTTGTTGTATAGTTTGAGTTATTGGGGTTTGAAATTTCTCTTTTTCTATTAAGTATCTGTTTTTGGTGACCTTTATGCTGAGAGTTGCTAGTTTGTAGTTTTTGGTCCTAATTTTGTTTACATATAATTATCGTGAGAGTTGCAGATACTTTGTAGTTTTTGGTTCTAATTTTGTTTAGATATCATGAAACATTGAAAGTTCAACTTTTTATAAATTGAACTGAATTTACTATCTTGCTTCAATTATCTGAGCTGGGGAGTTTGGGTTTTGTTTATGAACACTGGGATAGATTTCATTATTTTTAGTTGGGAAATTTATCAAAATTCACATAAAATTTGAACTACGTAAAATTTTTTCCCAGGTGTAATTTGATAAATTTCGAAACCCATTTTGATTTGTCATTTGATGGGCTGTTTGAAATTTTATCAAAAGAATGATGGAAAATTTTTTCCCAGTTGTAATTTGATAAATGTCGAAAGCCATTTTGATTTGTCATTGATGGGCTGTTTGAAATTTTATCAAAAGAATGATGGGAGATTTCAAAATAGATCAGGTTGACGTTTAAGTAGGTCAAATCTTAGGTGTAATTTGATAAATTGTCCTTTTCAGTTTTGTTCTGATATGCTGTTCTGATATGTAACGGAATTCTGGATATCTTAAGCAGCAACATGTTTTATTTTATTTTTTTTGGTAAGTTTTTAAAAGTGGTAAAAGTCAGTGGGGATTTGAGCCCCTACCCTGCATCGAGTCTGAGACCGCACCATGAGGCTCGGCAATACTACTGCGAAGGCCCTGGGCCATTTTCTAATTCTTACTTTTTTGTTGAGATCTTTGTTCCAAAACGGAAAAAAAAAAAAAAAACAGCCTATCCTGGATATCTATTCCTTCTCAGTTTTAGATACAGGAAATATGTGCCATCTTAAGCAGCAATATGTTGTTCTAATACTTTTTTTTTTTTTAAAGTTTTAGATGCTGATACAGGAAATATGTGCCATCTTAAGCAGCAACATGTTGTTCTAATTTTTACTTTTTTTTTTGTGGTAAGTTTTGAAAAGTGGTAAAAGTCAGTTGGGATTTGAGCACCTACTTTTTTTGGTGAGCATGGAGTCCGAGGCCTCACTATGGGGCTTGGCAATACTACCGTCAAGGCCCTGGGCCATTCTCTAATTCTTACTTTTTTGTTGAGATCTTTGTTCCAAAATGAAAAAAAAAAAAACACAGCAAATGTTTGCCTCTAGGTGTGGAAGGAGTGGAAGGAGGGGAAGGGGAAATAGCGAATGTTTGCCTTTAGGTGTGAGAGGAGGGGAAGGGGACATTTGTTCTCTGATGAATAAGAATTTATCCTGTGTCCTGGATTTTTACATGCTTCATCTATTCCTTCTCAGTTTTAGTTGGTTGATACAGGAAATATGTGCCATTTTAACAATTCATATATTTTTATGTGTAATTTTTTATGTTCTGAGTATGTGCCGTAGGCGTCTTGCATTTTTTTTATTCTACGCAATGTTGATACACTTATGTTTGTCCCTCTAGGCAAGTCCATAATTAAAAATCAAGATCCAGAGTGGTTCTTCTTCTGCCCCCGTGATAGGAAGTACCCAAATGGGCGGCGATCTAATAGAGCCACTAAAGCTGGTTACTGGAAAGCAACAGGAAACGACCGACCAATCAAATCAAAGTCTCATGGGTCGAGGTCAGATCTGATTGGTACAAAGAAAACGCTGGTTTTCCATGAGGGACGTGCTCCCCATGGAAAAAAAACTCATTGGATAGTGCATGAGTACCGTGCTAATGGAAATGCTTTTCAGGATTTGAATGGCTCTCAGGTGGAAACTTCTCTACTTTTCCCTTGCAGTTTCTTTTCCCCACCCGGCGGCAAAAAAAAAAAATTTGTTTCATATAGGTGCAACCACCTACTTTTTAATATGTAGTTACATGATTTATGTTATTTGATAGTTCAAAAACTTGCTTCACTTATCCGTGCAGTTCTTCCTCACTGTTGAAGTTGGAGTTGTTAATTTTGGCATGCTTCCAGTTGAAATTGGCAATCATGCTAGTAGATAATAAAACTGGAGAATAAATTTATTTTTAAGGACTATAGTTATTTGTGTTCTACAAGTAGTTATGCACATCTATAGTTTTTTTGCATACTGGAATGTCAAATCCTTTCACAATTATTATCTGGGTAGATGTTAAGTTTGAAGGTGTGGATAAAGGAAAACCTTGGCTGTAATTTCTAATCAATCTGAAAGTACCAGGCGAATTCCTGTAGACCAGTCGTTTTAATTTTCCTTTGCCTATATCAAAGAGGTTGAAGACTTTCACTTTGAAGCCACCCCTATCTTCCAACCTCAACCCTCCCCCTTCTCTCTCCAAACAACAAAACCCAAAAAAAACAAAATCTTTTCCCCCTCCAACCCCAAAGTGTAGTGAAGTTGCTTGCAACTGAGTCTGATTCGACCAAAAACCCATGTTATATAAAATATTTTGAATATTACTTTTAGGGTGCGGTTTGTACAGAGCCGAGGCTCTAAACAATCAAAGTATAGCGCACCTTCAAATAGTATTGAAAAATATGGTTTCAATACTGAAAATCTTTGTGATAGCCTTAAAATATATTTTAATCTCTAATTATAAAATTTAAAACTTAAAAAATAGTATACATCGAGTAGATCTATGAAAACTTAAAAATCTTGAAAATTGACGGTCAAAAGAATGTATTGCAAGCTGCATTATTTCTAAAACTTGAAATCCATTTTTTTCTCATGTCCATTCATCGATGTCGAGATGATCAATTTGAGGATATTTGGATATCAAAATAACCTCTTGTACCGAAATTTTTGGGGTACGTTCTAATTTGATTGTTTAGAGCCTCAGCTCTATATAAACGTTTTCCTTACTTTTAATACCTGAAGGCTTTCCCCAACAGAACTTCTCTTCCCGTGCCAAAACAAAGAGATCTCTAAAGATAATTTGACTACTCTAAGGTTGATATAATTGAGCATTGACTCTATGCATTTTTGGTAAATTGTCTTTGAGGTGATTATTACAATGACTATACCCCAGTTGGGGATCGTCTGAAATGTATAGCAGCTCTCTTCTCCTTCCTTTGGCCCATTGAATTACAAGTATGTCTACAAGAAGCATATTAGCATTCATATGCCATGTTTTTCGCCAATGTGCTGAGGTGTTCTTGGTTTGCAGGATGCCTATGTCTTATGGCGCCTTTTCAAGAAGGATGGTTTAAATGAGAAGAGGGATGATCCAAGCTATGATGGGGTGGAGCTGAGTGACTTATCGCCTGACCCTAGCAAGTCTTCTACTGGTGGGGTGGTGATAGATGGAGAACATGGAGACCAATTAGACCAGACCTCAAAGTTGGAAGTTAAGGAGACAAATGTGCAAGAAACCTCATCACCTAAAATGAGGGATTCAGACTATGTAAATAAAGTTTTGGAAGATATGCTGGCTACTGATGATTCTCTCCAACCAATTGAGAGCCAGCAGCACTATAAGGTTTGTGATTCTCTCTTCATGTAACGTAGTTTCATAAGGTTAAGTCCAGTTGTTTTGAGAATGTGGAGATATAATTGTGGTAGTGAATGGAAGGAAATGTAGTCCATTGGATTATGGAAAGTATATACTACAATCCATTGGGTTTTTAAATGGTCCATGGTGATGGAGAGAATTTGGAAAGCACCATTAGGATCATGCTATGTTTCTACTCTCTCTTCATCACCGCACATTTTGCCATTGTTTTTCATGGTCCATAGTATACTTACCCACTGAAAAGATGAGAATCCTTTTATTTTGAGATTATTTTGTTTTTCAAGAAAATATTCCTGGTTGATAAGGATGTTTCGATGATTCAATTGGCCCTGTTTGGTTTCAATGGATAAGGGCCTATTTTTTATTTTTGAAAAGTTATAAATGTACTTGGCAGTCTTATCTTGTAATGAGGATTTTAGGAGGAGAAAATTGAGCTATGTTGACTACTAGTTCAGCGAAAATGTTGGAGAAAATGAGAAAACTCACTATCCTGGGTAAATGCTTAATTTTTTAAATGGAAAGTAATGGCTGTCTCAACCTCCGTATCTATACTCGATAGAAGACAGGTATTCTTCACCTATATGAGTTCTCTAATTGTGATTTCTGGAGGAAATGCTTCTCCTATCTTGCAGTTTTCCTATTCCGAATGACTTGGCATCTTAGTCATCTATATATTCAGTTAGTTCAGGATAGAGTTCTACTTGTTAAATTGACTCATGATCTTTCTTCAAAGTACAGTATATGAGGTAGTTTATTTATATTTTTTTTAACATTTCATTCTTGGATCAGTTCCTATCTTCAATTTTTTATTGTTAATGTGGTTGGACTAGTTTCATATATAGGAATCACTTCATTTATCTTGTCACCAAATCCTCTTTACTGCTTTCTGAACCTGACTCTTGCTGAAATAAATTGACATGGTCCAGTTTTACTGGTAACAGAAAAACTTGTTCTCTTTCTCCAGGGTGATGAAGAGCAGGAAGCCTCAGAATTATTTCACGTTCCTAACAATGAGCCACTTGTTCTTGAAAATCATGTGCCTCCCTCATCTAGCTTTTGTAGTAATCTTGGCACATTTGATGATGGGGGTTTGGAAGTGAGCACAGCGAACTGGGATGGGTTAGGTCTTGTTAATTCGCACGGACCCTCTTCTGTCCCAAGTGCTGAATCTTTTGATGAATTTGATTATCTTATAGATTTTGATGAAGATCATCTGGGAGAAAGGGATGGTGGTCATAATCCTTCAATTAACACTATAGGTCATGGTCAGTCTGGAATTGTGATAAGAGAGCGTCAACCTGGTCCTAGGTACAACCCACCAGTTTTTCCATTCCAGGGCACTGCATTGAGGAGGATTTGCCTACAAAAGCTAAGTAATGGACGAGCGTTCTATGAGGCAGAAAAAGAGAAGGTAAAGAGCCTTTACAAACTCTTCAATTGAAATTTGTCTTTTCTCTGGGAAAGTATACTATGATCATGGATTCTGTTATATATCATTTTGGACTATGTCTAGTGAAATGATGGATGGCGATGGAGAGTGAATAGATCCTACCTGAACAGGAAACAACCCCAGAGATGGATCCACCTCTCTCTTCATAACTCGCGGCATCATTTCATTGGACGATAATGCAAGGAGCTATCACCAAGGTTATTTGTAGTCCATTGGATCATAGTATACTCTCTCATCCGCAGATCACAGGAACTGCACTAAGGTGCATTAGCCAACAAACAGTGGGCATTTAGGGGAAAGCCTTTGAAACACGAGAGGAGATCAGGAGCTTCAGCAGGAAAATCCAATGGACTATGATATGCCATAGTCCATTGGGTTTGTTACTGTCCCATGAAATGGGCAGTGATGGAGAGAGTATGTAGCACACCTAACAGGAAGTGGCCCTTAGGTGGGTCTTGCTCTTTCATCATCATCGTCCATCATTTCATGAGACATTGATAACAAAGAACTATGGCTATCATCCTCGATAATCCATTGGATTATGTTTCGTTTTCCATGCATAAAATCATTGGAACTGCCTGGGGAGCGTTTGCAGCCACATGGCCGTATACAAGGGGGAGTTCTAAAGACGACAGAGAAGGTGAAGGATCTGTACACGCCCTAAGTTCAACTTGGTGTCTGTTTCTTGGTGAATGTATTCTTTAATCCAAGTATCTATTGAACGTATTATATACTTAATGGACAGTTGGGTCATCACCAACCTATGAAATAATGTGGGGTGATGAACTGTAACAGTTAAAAAAAAAAGAAATAATGTGGTGTGATGGAGAGAGAATGGGGCACAACCAATCAGGATATGGCTTCCCCCAATGCTGGGTCCTACTTGCTATCCATTTCATTGGACGATTGTGATGAGCTATGGCTGCAGATTTCCCTGTGATGAAATCAACGAATTAGAATGGAGCTGAAGATACTGTACTTCAATTGAACTGTTTTTAATCAACGAATTAGAGAGGAGCTGAAGATCCCCGCTGTACTTCAATTGAACTGTTTTAAATCAACGAATTAGAAAGGAGCTGAAGATCCCCACTGTTCTTCAATTGAACTGTTTTTATCTTTTCAGGATGGTTATTCACTGGAAATGATTTATAGGGTTAAGGTTCATATCCTTATGTTACTTCATTTTGTGTTCTAATTCACTGTGCAGGAGAGAGAGAAGGACAGAGGCACGTTGGCTGCTGTGCTCTTGGGCTTGGAGGATAAGACTGGTAATCTCCAAATGACAACATTCATTTTAACATAGGAAAGACTAATGCCATGTTTAGTTTGTTTTATTTTCGTTGTTAACCCTTAGTTTTTATGCACATTTCAATGAGATTGTGCGTATATAGGTGCCAAAAATTGTAAAGTAAACATCTTGTTTGATCTGAGATGAATCCTTCATCCAGAATGTTTTTTCTTATGTTGGCCTTTACGATTTCCCCAAATGAGTTCCATGAGATAAATTTTTGCTTGACAGAGTAGTTGGCTATTTTGGTTAATTTAAAGAAATGATTCGTCTTTTTGCCATTGTCACCTTTTCCTGGTAGATTAGTGTCTAACTGGTCCGGTACTTGAAATGCAGAGATGTCAGTTCAAGTGAAAGATGCTCCTCCGGTTATACAGTTGCAAGCCGCAGAAGTTCAGGAAGGTCTGCAACATGAGAGCTACCCATGTGTTGCCCAAATCAAATTAATTCAACCTGTGCGTCGTCGAGCCAAGAAAGTTCTTCGTAGAAGCCCAACGAGGGCCATGGGTGCTGATCCTTTGGAGGAGAGAAAAGTGGGCGCTGATCCTTTGGAGGAGAGAAAAGTAGTTGAGAGATATATGCCGCCCACGTGTAGAATAATACTTTTACCTGATTCTGACTTAGAAAGCAGCAACAAGAAAGGCATGGTGGAGATGGTACCAGTCGCCCTGAATGTCAATGTAGAAGAAATCGACACCAACTCAAGTAGAGGCATCACTGAACCCAATCCATTGCGAATACCAAAATCCTTGAAGATAGTTTGTGCTTCGGCTCTTGCTATCTTTGCAATACTGCTTGTTACGGTTCTTAGCTTTGTCAAGGTTTTCTTCACCTATTCAAAATCATCGATCTCTGTTGTTTTATGACATGATAGCTATATGCTTCACTGTGTTGGGCATTGTGCAGTTAACAAACTTAAAAATATCATTTTAGATTTTGTAAATTTTTCTGTACCTTGCCTAGTTTAGTTAGGAGTCCTTCAAGCCTTGAATGCATGCCCTCCAAGAAGCCGAACCCATGTGCAGTTTTGTTTACATGATGTTTGTAGCGCAATGCTTTTTCAACCATGTTGTGGCCAATGTTATGTAATTAGTGGCGATTAATTGTCATGCATTACTCTGTTGTTTGGAGGTCATGTGTGCTTCGAGTGGAATGAAACCTACTTTTTTTAGACAATAAATGAAACAAAATTTGGGACTTCCAAACACTTGCTTGGTGACCTAAGATCCTCATGGAAGCCACTCTTTCCTCATTGCAATTTACCGAATGGCTGCACCTCTTACTCCCATTTCTGACGATGAGGAGGTTTTATTCGATCTTTTATTGCCCTTTTCTTGTGCTTATCTATTTTCATTGCTCTCTCCCCCTAAGGTTGAAGCGACTTGGTTGTCAAATATTGTCCTTTCCCAATGACCGGAAGCGACATGGCTATCTGCAGGTACGTAGTGCAAGGCCCTTCTCGAGCAATGAGGATCCGATACTGCTTCGACAAAACCTATGAGTTATCTTCTTATGTTGGATTTGAGTTATTTTGCGTCACTCATCAGGGCTGGCAATGTGCCCGGCTTGGGTCGTGCCAGCCCTAACCCTACCCCTACCCCTACCCCTACCCCTAGCCCGGCCCTTGTCCCTACGATTGGTCCACTAGTCTGGCTGTGTCTTCAAGCTCAGACAATGATATCTTCTCCTGACTCTTTTGGAGACTTCAAGTAAATTTTATTTGATTAGGTATAAGAGGAATAAGATATGCCCTCTTATATTCTTGGAAAGTCTGTTGTGTGGCCCACAGCTTGTGACCTCTTATATTCTTGGAAAGTCTGTTATGTGGCCCACAGCTTGTGGGCTTCGTGAGCAAACTTTGCCATAGCCAGATAATTAGGTCAATGGTTAGATGCTGGGGTCGAAGAGTTTTAGCTGAGTTGATGAGGATGGGATTGCATGGTTACAGTTTGGAGAGTTTCTTTACAATGTAGAACTAATAGAATGATACAAAGCTATGAAGTAAGAAACTGATATCGCATGTGTACCACCATTGGTCTTAGGACGCAAGCCCTCCCGCTCGCATTAGACCCTTGTGGTATATAATGTGAATTTTTGGAAATTTTATGTGCAGACATGAAAAAAGACGTAATATTATGCATGATCAATATTTTGGACTATATTACATTGATGTAATATTTTTTTAGTTGTTTTATTCCCATTGTACCTTGTGTTCAAAATTCTAACTTTTGAAGCACAAAAAACACAATGATACACTTGGGTTGTTCGAAAGACCAATTCCGAAAAACGCAACGCTTGTTTCTTTTTCCTTGTTTTATTGTTTTTTCATATGTGCTTTAAGTGTACCCAAATATATCAATCGTTCTATATTTTTGGTAGTCAAAAGTTTGACTTGGAAAATAGAAAAAAGGAAAAGAAAAAAAGAGAACCTAAAGAGGATATAGTGTAAAATATGAATGATACAATAATAATGCATCTGTTTCAAGTCCCTATGTAATGTTTCTTACTTTTTAAGTTTCACAACATAAATATAACTCGAAAATCAAGAAAAATAAATAGGAAAAATATCTCCATATCCCTATTTTTAAGTTTCATTTTTTGATCAACCCAAAGTTTCAATAGATATCTTCTAACCTCTTACCACTTTAAAACTATTTTTTAACTTAAACAAATGTTAGAAAGACATGTTCTTTTTAAACCCAATCATTTTTCGCTTTTCACTTATATATTCCAAACTTCCCTCTTTCTCTCTCTTCCCACATCTCTGACTCTCTCTCTTTCCACGTCTTTGACTCTCTCTCCTCCCGTGTTTCTCTAAATACCTCTCTCTCTTTCTCTCTCCTTCCAGTAACCTCTCACCTCCATGAAGCCCTTCTCTCTCTCTCTATAAGTTTGGAATGATGACTTTTAAAAAAGCATGTTTTTTTATATTTGTTTGGCCTAAAAAAGTAGGTTTAATGCTCAATGGGTTGGAAGAAATAAAATCTACAATTTTATGGCCCAAGATATCTTAAAAACTTTGGTTCTATTGTGAAATGAAACTTAAAAATAAGGGGTATGGAGATATTTTCCCAAATAAATATACTAATTTAGAGAAAACATACAATAGGACACCTAGAGAGTTAATTGGAGGGTGCTGAAAACAAAAAAAAATTCTAGAAGATGTATTGACATGGTGCGACGTACACGAGGACGTGCTAACTAGTGTGAGGATGACTAGTGGAGTAGAACGTAAATATATAGTTACACAATAGGCCTACATCAGGGTCAACATTGAGTCTACATCTCTTTGTTTTGTTTATGAACGAGTTAAGGCATCTACATGATAAGGTACTGCAATGTATGGTGTTTGCGAATGATATAATTTTGATTGAAGGGACTAGTGATGATGTTAATATGAAGTTACAAGTTTAGACGGATGCTTCGACATCAAAAGGTTTTAGGATTAGCAGGTTTAAGAAAGAATATTTAAATTACAAGTTTAGTAATAATATGAGTGAAAACAAGGAATTAGTTAAGATTGATGACCATTAAGTAATTAAAAGAGAGTATTTTAGATGTCTTGGATCGATAATCTATAAAAATAGAGAGATTGATGAAGATGATATGTTATGCTTTACAGGAACAACATGTTCATAAAAATGATGATGTTAAGATAGTTGTAGCAAGCCAAAAAAAGGGTAAAATTTAAAACGAGTGCATCCCAAGGAAGTTAAGGTGGCTTTAGTAAGTGATAAGATGAGATAAAATAGAATTAAGTGGTTTAACTATCTGCAACTTCGATGTAGAGCAACACTAGTTAGGAGATGTGATTTGGTTTAAGTGGAAGTACTAAAAGGGCAAGGTGACTGTAGTCTTATTGATGCGCTAAAACGATATGGATGTAACCAGTAAGAAGAGATATGGTGACCCGTAGTCTTATTGAGGGCATCGCCCCTGATAAATATGAAATGGTGGAATACCCGAGTCAAAATAATTGAGATAAGGCTCGGATCATCATCACCATCTAAAATAAATTGAATAAGGATTCATTATATAATGGAAATAGTTTATATAAGGTTGCAACCTTCAAATGTAGAATTATAGATGCACTTCAAAAATCCATTGGAAAAGATTATTTTAATGTTGAAAAACCCTCTAATTGATCATCTTGATATCGAAATATATGAATTTGAAAAAAAAAAGATTTTACGTCTCAGAAATAGTACATCTTGCAACACATTATCTAGACCGTCAATTTTAAGATTTTCATATGTTTATAGATCTACTTGATTTTAACAATTTTTGGATTTTTAAATTATATAATAAGATATGAAAATAGATTTTGAGATAATCTTAATAATTTTGTACACCAAAATTACATGTTATGATAAAATTTGGAAGTGCGCCGTAATTGAATTGTTTAACGTTGCAACCTTATAACAACCACTACCTTATATGATTCATTAATAAGAAATATTAGGGGAACATTGGAAGTACCCGAGTTTTACTTGTAGCCTATCATGGTTTTCACACCTGTACTCGTACTAGGCCACTCTTTATTAACACATTTGAGAAATTGACCTTTCATGATGCATGTGATCCTCACCTGCAGACAACTATCATCAATAACTTTAATTTATCTTTTATTTTCTCATGAGTTAATAAAGGGCAAGTAAAGTCTTGAATATTATCATGTTAACACGGGCCTCCCCAACATTATCTTAGATGAGAATAATGTACAGCATTCCGAAGACTAAATTTTGAGAGAGAGACTCAAATAAAAGATCTCTTTGTAATCGTAAACATACTTACCTAACAACCAGTAAAGTTCTATTATTTTATTATTTAGATGCTGAATTTTAAATAAAAAACCTTAAATAGAACTCAGAATTTCAAATTTAGAAAAATCAACCATCATTGCCTGAAGAAGTATCTTGAAAATTTACCATATAAATTTTAATTTTTAAAAGGTTTAAAATTTCAAATTTTTATATATCTAACTACGAAAGGAATTTAAAGACTTTGACTAAATAAAATACTCTAATAAGAAACTTAACCCCTGATGGTCGCCTTTCTCCAAACCAAAAAAAAGTCAAATTTGGTATCTCGAACTATAGCTTTTGGTGAATTTTGAGGGAAGCTTTATTTATTTTGATAGGATCGAAGCCTACTTTTTGTTTATTTTTATAGGACTGCAACCATTGTAGGGTTTTCGGGAACTCCTAGCTTATAGAATTGGGAATCTCAAATATCGAGATCCCAAGCAATATCGTGTATAAGATTGGCTAAATGCAGAGTAGATGAATACAACTATAAATCAAGTGCAAGAAATAAAACAAACATAAAAAGACACACTACCACCACAATACATGATTTATACGATTCAGTTTTAGGTTACAAGAGAAAATACCTATATCTAAATATCGGTAAAAGACCATCACCGATCTTTCCTTCTAAACCAGCTTTTCCGACCAAACAAGACCGTCGATCTCTATGTTCTTTCCACCGTAATATTGCTACCGGAAAGATAATCTCGAGAGTAACCAAAAGTTTTTATCTCTTTAGAAGTAAAAACCTTACTAACCAAAAATTTATGAGAATACCGCGTCTCTCTCGGAAGCCATATCTCTCTTTCTTGGAGATCAATTGGAGATCTATTCCCATAACCCCCAAAAAGGTGACCCTTAAAAGGATAAGATATTGTGTATTCATTGAATCTCTTATACAAATATCACTTTCTTGCTTTTTAAAAAAATCTATTTTTATTTGACCATAAAATCCTTAATCTTTAGAAGAAAATATGGGTATGGTGATTTGACTATCACCAAACCCAACCCATATTAATTAGGAAAACGGTAGGTTTGCAGCCCTATCAAAGCAAGTAACACCTCATAACTCATCCAAAATTATAATTCAAACATTTGGAAACTTTACATCGATCAACTTGAACATTGTTTGTGAAAAAAATTAAAATTGCAAGCCTTAAAAACAATGTATATTGTAACAAATTATCTAGACCATTTATTTCATCTTAAAAATAAATATTCATATGTCAACGAGATCTATACCATTCTCTTAGTTTGAAATTTTATTATTTTTTTGCAAACAAGAATTTGAGTCGAGGCTTTATTTTGTTTGCATGTGGCCTACGCCGTATAAAAACTTCATTCTATTAATTATACATGATGCGTACATTCCACGTGTTCCAAGGTAAAAAATGTTTCGCGAAGCTTTTTCGTGAAAAATTAGTTGGAAACCACCCGTGAATCTTCTTTCTCCTCTTGTATCTGTGTCCTATCTTAATTGGCACTTTCCAGCCTAGAAACTATCCATGGTTTTGATATCGAAGAAAGAGTGACGCTGCCTGTTTACTTAAACCTGCGGAGTTTCGTGCCTGCAAATTCTGCAGTTCACTTCCCCATATTTGATGGGGTGTCCTGGTATTGCCATTTTTGCTCTCCTTCTCTTGCCCTCTCTTTCTCTTGGTGAGGATGATGAGTACCACTATGATGCCATCCTTGAGGCGGCAAAGAGAGAGAAAGAGTGGTTGGTGAGTGTGAGGAGAGAGATTCATGAGCAGCCTGAGCTGAGCTTTGAGGAGCACAACACCAGTGCTCTTGTAAGAAGGGAGCTCCATGGGATTGGGGTCTCTTACTCTTTCCCCTTTGCTAAAACAGGGGTGGTCGCCACTATCGGTTCGGGGTCTGGCCCTGTTGTGGCGCTTCGGGCGGACATGGATGCTCTTCCCTTGCAAGTACTCTCTCTCTAGAATCTCATACTCTCTCTCTATGTACACTGCACTCTAACGAAACAAAATTTCTGTGCAAGGGATACATAGTCACTGGTCAATATTTGATTTGGATTGTCCTTCTGCAAGTGCCTTCTCTCTCTCTCTCTCTGTAAAAATGAAATCCCGGCCTGTAGCACGCAACTTTCAATTGTCTCCTATCCCTAGCTTGGCACAGTTTTGTTTTTCAAGCATGCTTGCTTGCCACCATGAGAAAGAGAAAAGTGTTTGAGAAGAAAGAATTAGTGGTAGATTAATTGATTGAGCAGATATGATTTCTAAAGCTTACAATAACATGGATTATAAAATTCCTATTTTCCTCTGAAAATTTAGGTTATCCTCATATGTTTTGAGGATATTGAGTGAAATTTGTGTGGGAAAGATGGGTGTGGAGGATAGTAATTTGATGCTTATGCTCTTAACCACTGAGCCAAGAGTCTAAAATCATATCTTACCTTTTCTCTAAACCCGGAAAATGCTTTTTGAGTTCCCAAAAATCTTGTTGTTCTTTTGATTTCTCAGATGGTGATTGGAGTCACCTATGCATGGTCTGGAATTCTCATTGTGATCCTTTCCAATTGGGAAAAGAATTTTGTTTGAAACCCAACAAAATTCACAAAAGAATGCTAGAATTTGGTTCAAATAAAAGTCTGCTTGCAAATTGGTTCCATGACTCGGCTGAGTCCACTTGGACTCGCCCTTTGAGCGAGGCCGAGTAGGGCCAAGTTGTATGTATAACTCAGGGTACATAAATTTAATTCCTTTCTCAAAGTCTTTTTAATGGCAATATTGGAAAGATGTTTACTTTTTTCCTTTCTAACTTTGCCTTCCTTTTCTATTTTGTCTTGTGTTGTTCTGTTGTTGTTTTGTTCTAGGAACTAGTGGAATGGAAGCACAAGAGCAAAGTGGATGGAAAGATGCATGCGTGCGGCCATGATGCTCACACAACAATGCTTCTTGGTGCTGCTAAATTGCTTCACCAACGGAGAGACAAGCTCAAGGTTGGTTTTATTTTTAGATGGGAAACCCTTTTGAAAGATGAACTGAATTCAAATTGTTTGTTGATACTTGGTGCCACCAAGAAAAGCTTTAGAACTGAACTAGCCCACAGGCTGTGAGATGCACAGGTACAGTTGCATAGGTACTACCAAATAAATTATGTATTATTTTTGAGACCTCTTATTTTAAAATGGCACAAATTATTTTTTCAAAAAATAACATAGACAAAAATGCAATGTTAAGGCCTGGTCTCTATGATTGGGTGTTGACAGCTGCTGCATAACGTCCCAGGGAAAATGGCACCACTGAGCTACAGAAAATGAAAGTAAAATAGGAGGGTTATGGATGTTGTTCTTCTAGAATGGTTATGGTTGTTTTTACCATAGTTGTCGGGATTGGGACCGGGACCGGGAATGCTACCGGGGCCTGAATTGAGAGCGTGGGATTGTGGAATTCTGGAAGATCCCTATAGTTGGAAACGTTGTCCGTACAATGCATACGTTAGGGATCGAGATCCCGAAATGTTAGGGATCGAATTCCAACCTTTTGGGGATCTTGATCTTGACCTTTTGGGATTTTGATCCCAACTTTTTGGGGATCTTACTGTCCAACATTAGAAGTACATGATAATATAGGATTATGTACATTCTTTAAAGTAGGGATCTCATTATTTATAGCAAGCAAACAATGCAGCTATATTAAAAGTATGGTTGTGTTATTAGTTGGATGTAAACAAAGCAAATCATTAGTTTGATTGTTGCCTTGGTTTTTAAGGTTGGGATTGAGATCCCTAATAACAGGAATCGAGATCCCTAACAGTGGGGATCGAGATCCCAAAATTTAAAAAGTACGATTCCTGAGAGTTCCGTTTTGGGAGCGGCAGAATCAAGATTCTAGAAGGGATCACCTACCAAAGTAGGAGATCCTGGTAACTATGGTTTTTACCATTGGGTTATACTTTGTCCATGGCATAAATTTGAGCAATGACAAGTGTGATTTTGTTCTTTTAAAAATGACTTAAACATAATCATTTACATAAATCTAAAAAAGAAAAAAGAATGCTCCTCCTCTTGGAAACCTCAATGGATAAAGAATGAAAATAATTTTAAACAATAGTATTTAGTGTTATCCACACTTTCTTAATACGCATTTTAACACTCACCATAAACTTGATCATCAGCAGATGAGGGATATTCTCTCTGCTTTTTATGTCCGTCTTCCATGAAGCCTTGGTAGTCAGAAATTTGTTATTTAGTAGAGATGTGGGGAATACTAATGATCGGATGTAGTAATAACTCATATAATGTGAGATTCTATGTCTTATCATGCAATGCATAAGTAGAAGCTACTTGTATGATGCTATCTTTCTATCCGTGAAGGTGTGCATGAGTTGAGACCTGATCATTGGAAGAGGAATGGGATTGTTGGGTGGAATAGCAGATATGGAATCGCTTTGGGAAGAAAAATAGGGTATATTCTTAAAAAAGGTAATATCCTTTGAGACATATTTCCTGACGGTAACACTTGTATCCTTTCTGAGAGTTTGAGTATCTTAGGAGCACACATTTCGTAGATTGAGGTCCTTGTTTATTCCTATCTAGCCCTTGACTACGCACATAACAGACTTTGCTAAGGCTTTTGGTGGAATAGAATAGAGAGGAAGTGCATGGTGGAGAAGTTTGAAAGGATAAGCACCATCAAGAAGAGGTGTAAGCATTTGTTGATCATACAAGTAGCAGTAAGAATTGCTTTATCCTAATATGTTGTAGGAACCTTCATTCCTATTAAGATGCCTCTCACCACTTCTAACAAGTGTCTATTTTGCATTCTGCCACACCATATGTTGTGGTGTTTAGAAATATGATGTTTGAGTTTCTTTACCATGTTCAAGAAAATAATTTTTTAATCCATTGTATAGATACTCTTGTGCATTATCAGAATGGAAAGTTTTTATTTGGGTGTCAAATTGGGTTCGCACCATTTGAAATATTTTAACTACTGAATGTACTTCATCTCTACTTTTCAAAAGATAGATCAAAGTATAACGAGAGTAGTCATCGATGAATAAGATAAGATACTGATGTTCAAATATAAAAGTTATTAGAGCAGACACCCAAACATCAGAATGAACTAGCTAAAATGGCTTAGGACTTTTATTTATTTTTATTTTTTTGATAAACGTTAACTTTTGTATTGCTATAAAGAGATAAAGTGCAATTTTGGGTTAATCCGAGAGTACCCTCTAGATGGGACTCTCAGTAAATAACAGGTCAACAGACCCTGTACAAAAAATGGGCTTATAAGGTTGCCCCCTTACAATGGGTTTACAATGAGTTTACAAAAAAGGGCGTATATGGTTGCTTGTATACAGTAAGATATTCTTCTAAGTGTATCCTCTGCGGTCCAGAGCAAAAAAAGAGATGGACCGGATTTGATCTTCTTCGTGGGCCCTAGTCCCGTCCTTCGCCAGGAGATCGGCGAATTCGTTTGACTTCCTAGAGGTATACATCCAAAAGACGACCATATTCCTGTATGTGTATGCAATCTCATAAAAAATCGAAGCAAGATACCATGGAGGTGTAGATCTCCCGATTGCCCATGTTATGATGTTAAGCGCATCACCCTCCACTATTAGGTTTTGCCCCCAAGATTGATCGAAACTTTTTAGGCCCTTGAGAAGGGCCATTGATTCGGCATACTGGGAATCTTGGAAGCCAAGATATTCAGAGTAGGTGAAAGGGATATTGCGTTGGTGATCTCTAAAGACACCATCAGCTCCTGCATGGCTGGGCTTCCCCAAAGAACACCCATCGAAGTTAAGTTTAATGGCTCTGTTTGGGGGTGGCTTCCGGATGCTTGATCTTTCCGCTTTCCTGGGTTGGTGGAATAGAATATTATCCCATTGACTTACGAAGGAATTTGCAGAGATACCCTTGAAGAGTTGTTGGTTAGAAGCCTAGAAGGTTACTACGGATGTAACCTTATGAAAGAGTGTTGGGACTTGGCTGACCTGTCCTTGGAAAATTCTTGCATTTCTCTCTGTCCAGATCACCCAAATGGTTGCTGCCACTGCAGCCTTCCATAGGGTTATTCCAGCCTTCGGCCATTGAAATACATAATCTGAAGCTATTAGGTCCTTGACCGTCATTGGTGTTACCCAGTGGACACCGAACAATTGTAGCAATAGACTCCAAAGGTCGTTGGCAAGATTACAATGGATGAATAGGTGGGGATTGGATTCCTCTTCACACAAACACATGATGCATCTGCTGGGGATGGGAATCCCTTTCTTTTGGAGGTGATCGACAGTAAGTGCCTTTTGAGAACCCGTTGTCCAGTTGAAGGTCTGCACCTTAGGGGGTGCTATAGTATGCCAAACCTTAGAAACAGCCGAAGGAGGGTTTAGGGGGAAAGTGGGAGGTTGGATGAGTTTTTTGTAAAAGGAGGCCACTGAGAAGACCCCTGTAGGGGCAAGAGACCATACCAGTCGGTCCCTCCCTTGTGTAGGGATGAAAGAAAGGTGCAAGGTTGCCGACAAGGAGAGAAAGTGTTTAGTTTCCTCCTTGGAGAAGTTTCTTCTGAATGAGGGGTTCCACACTCTTCGACTTCCCTCTGACACCATTTCCTCCTCTATAGTAGAATCTCTGTTTGCCACGATGGCATAAAGGGATGGAACGAGGTCCCTTAATGGCGCGTGTCCAAGCTAGAGATCTGACTAAAAACGCACTCTTGTTCCTTCTCTTGGATGGAGCCTGATGAATTTTTTGAAAAATGCGAGGGAGGAGGTGAACGACTTCCATGCTCTTGATGCATTGCTCCAAGGTCTCCTCTCTGGCACCCAAGTGCGTTCAGGAATCTTGTATTTACTCCGTAGTACCTAAGCCCATAGGGAATCCGTCTTAGTGGCCACCACCATTTCCCTAAAAGGGCCAAGTTGTGTTTTCTTAGGAGCCTGATCCCCAACCCCCCCTGATGTTTGGGTAAGCAGACCTTATCCCAAGAAACTAAATGATATTTGTTTTCTCTGCCTATCCTGACTAGAGAAAATTCCTCATAAGTTGGTCAAGCCGATTTGCCACTGAAGTTGGCATTTGGAAAAGAGACATAAGGTACACAGGGGCATTGGCCAAGGTTGCTTTGATTGGAGTGATTCTACCCACTTGAGAAAGGTATCTCCCTTTTCACCCAGCCAAGTGCCTATCAACCTTGTCAATCACGTGAGACCAATGTCTCTTTTTGGGTATTCCCAACCCCAGAGGTAGACCCAGATAGGTTGTGGGGAGATCCTCGACTTTGCAATCCCAATTTGGAATAAGCTTTCTGATTTGGGCATTGCCGACAGCTACACCCATCATTTTTGATTTTTCCATATTGACCTTGAAGCCTGTGGCCACTTGGAAACATTTCAGATAGAGCCCCAAGTTATCAACTTCTTGAGGAGATGCATCAAGGAATACCAAAGTGTCGTCTGCATATTGCAGGTGCGACACTATAGGCCCACAGTGACACGGTAAGAAGTTTTAAAACCTGTGAGGAGACCTGCCAGGTATACTCGAGACAAGGAACGGCTAAAGACTTCTTTTGGGGTAATCCCCTCGAGGAAGGGAAGAATCCTTTTGGGGTTCCATTGTTGAGTATCAAGATATGCGGATGAGAGTAACAACCTCTCATCCAATTTCTCCAGCGATCACGGAATCCCATTCTTGCCATTGTCTTATCCAGTATGGACCAATCAACGTGGTCATACGCTTTCTCCCAGTCGATCTTAAAGATGAGACCAGGCTTTTAGCCAAATGCCTTGAGTGGAGATACTCATGGGCAACTAGAGCACCGTCCAGGATTTGCCTATCCTTAATGAAGGTCAACTGTGAAGACGAGATAATAGAGGGAAGGACTTGTTGTAATCTTGAGGCCAGCACCTTAGCCAAGATTTTATAAGAAGAGTTGAGCAAATTGATAGGGCGAAAGTCCTTTAGTTCCTCAGCCCCTTCTACCTTGGGGA